GATCTTCTTAAAGGGTATATTGACCCATGAGGGTCGCCGGGCGACGTCTGACACATTGATTGATATTATGAATGCTTCGGGGATTCTTTCCCCGGCGACTACTTGATATAAACACTACCTTTTGGAGTGGCCCGCTGACTGCGGTACCACTCCGGGCGACTTGGAATGAGATGAAGGAACTCTTTAAAAAGGACTTAACAGTCGCCCGCTGAACCAGACAGAGTCAGCGGGAGAGTTTCTGGTTAATCACGAGATGATACAAAAGTGTTGCAGTTGCCTAGACAATGAGCACGCCATAGCACACCATGAAGGTGTGGCCGGGGGAACCATGTGGTGTATCTCCGGGAGAAGGACTTTATACCCACGGAAGTGAATACCTCATTTTCTATTGGTTCATAACCTCCCGGGGACCACGTTGGTCTCTGTTCCGAAAGTTTCCTTTTATCTCCTTTCATGCTCCCCAGTTTGTATAAAAAGCCTAGTAAAATACTTGTAACAGTAGTAGACTATCCCCCGGGAAAAGGGCAATATAGTGGACTCAGAGAATTGAACAGACAGAAATCAGTCAGATATCAGAAAGATTCGATATAGTTGGAGAAGCCTACGTGAGCTTGCAGCCGTCAGTTATAAGTGCACCGTCATCGCGAGACGCATTGCCCGCTGACCGCCGGCCGTTCAACCCTACCCTCCATTGAGAGCGTAGGTTCTAGAGTGGAAGACGCCCCGCTGAATTGGTTCACCCGTCGACGTACCCCGCGTTGGTTGAGGTCGGCCGCTGACGCTGAACACTGCTGGTTTCTCGAAGTCAATTACTCCGGGCCACGCACTAGCCTTGTCGAAATCAGAATTGTCGTCCCCCGGTGACTCTGCTATAGAATTAGCGTTCATCCACACTATTGAAAAGTGAACACATCTTGAAGGGTTTCTTAATCCTACTTCCCCGAACACACACACACGAGTATTGAGATTTGGAGTTTGTGATTGATATTAGATTTTGGATTTGTTGGGTTATAGTGATTCGTTCGCTCCCGCTCACTTATTTGGATCTTTTGATTTCACGGCTGCACCCCAGTGCACCGTTTCAACGTATCGCTGTGTTCGACGGCACCAACTGGAGTTCGTTCAGCAAGGACATCCAGGTCTTCTTCCAACTCGAAGGAATTTGGGATATTGTTAATGGGACAAAGAAGAAACCGTCGGATGCAGCTGAGGCCGAGAAGTGGGTTCGGAACAACGAGCGCGCGTACTCTATGCTCTATTTCCTCATCGGCGCTGACTACCGCAGTATCATCGCGGATGAGTCCACCGGTGTCGAGGCGTGGAAGCTTCTGAAGGACGAATATCAGAAGGATTCCTCTGCCCTTCGGCTCGCACTCCGCAACGAGCTCTATTCCATCCGCCATGATCCCAAACAGCCCGTTAGCGTCTATATCGAGGCGATCCGTTCTGTCGCCCGCCAGCTTAAGGCGATCGGACACTCGCCATCGGACGACGACCTCGCCGACCTCATCCTTCTTCGCCTCCACCCATCATTTTCTTCCATTCGTTCCGCACTATCTAACACCACTCCATTTCCCAAACTTGCTGCCTTGATCTCCGCCATTAAAGCCCACGAAATGCAGGAGAAGCTTTCCGACAGCGTCGCACAGTCGATCAAAAAAGAGGAGGAGGACGATGGTGACAAACCGATGACTGATGCGATGGCTGCTCGTGAAGGACGAAAGGGGGTGAAGGGTGAGTTCGATTGGGGTAATTCAAAGGAGAAGGATGGAGTATGCCATCGCTGTGGTTGCTCTGGCCATGTCGCTCGTCGTTGCGTCGCCAATATGCCTGACAACGTCAAAGCCAAGATTCTGACGTCAAAAATCGATGCTGCCGCTTACGGGGATCTGGTTATTCTCACCGACTCGAATGACGATGATAATGTTGCTGTCCCTGCTGCATTCGAGTCGGATGACCTTTGCATCCTTTCCGACGACTCCGATGCCGACACTCCAGCCATTTCACGCCCCGATTCACTTCCCAACTCATCGTTCTTCAATTCTCAGCTCGAGGGGGTGCACGCAGACAAAAAGAAGAAAACTCAACGTGGACATCGAGGTCGTGGCGGAAAATAAATGGTGTTTTTATTCTATTCTTACTCTTCATTCGGACTTCGCGCGAGGGGGTGTGTTGGAATACATACGTCATATACGATCTTTGTCATATTACATAAGATTCATTCCTTTGTCTTCTACGTTTGTGTGCGCGTCTCCGTCTCACATTTCGAAGGTTCAAAACTTTGTCTGCTGAATGGGGAAGAACTTGAGCGGGTAATGGAATAGGATATACGCTACGACTTACCGAGCCAGGTGTTTGCTGTCTCGATATTGTCCTCTAGCTGACGTGCAAACGCAGCAAGATCGCGTTCCAGATGAGCCAAGCACAGCGGGCATGCATTCGCCATGGCCTGGTCAGCCAGGACGAGCTTGGGCGCCTCTACTGCTATCGTCTCTCGCGCCGGCTGCGAGACCATCTGAGCCGCTAACCTTGTGATATGGTTGTGGAACCATCCTACAGGCACATCACTGTGGAGAACTCCTTGTGGTAGTGGTGGACCATTCCTACATTGGGTACGGTGCTTCCTGGCTCCACCAAACGAATTGTTTGTTAGTTCCCGCATGATGAAAGTGAGGTGCCATGACAGGATCTTCAAAAAAGTCTCCGAGGGCGAATGAACAGCGATTATGGGGGTGGGGAATGAAATGGTATTTGACAATCCTCCTCGCAAGAACACCACAAAGTCGATGAAATTCATATAGTCTGTGGGCGTCCTCCTAGGTCAGAAGTCGCATTTCGGCAAATACCTTAGTGGGAAACAGAGGGCACTTCAAAGTTGAGAGTGTTGCCTTTCGAGCCAGATCTGGGAGATCGCAAAGCCGCGTGATGACGAACAAGTGGTGCGGCTGAGCGTCGATGAGGGTGGGATTATCCAACATCCGTTCAATCAAACGCTGTACGCATATGAACTGATACTTGTGCGCTGCCTGGTGGACTGCAAGGAGTCCATCTAGATCCACGACTCCAAGCGTATAGTGTTCCGGGACCGCGCCGGGTACGCAAGGCAAAGGAGCCGGTAGAGCACCGATTCGGGCTCGGGGAGCACTAAGATGGGCTTTCCATCTCGGAGCAGCGCAGTTGGGTCGCCATTGCTGCCAGCAACTGAGAACATGCCGTCAAAACAATCGGATGCGAACTTCAGGATTTCCCGATGAACGTGGAAATCAATGCCATCGCTGGACCGCAGAATGAAATCCAGGGGATGGCTATCAGTGAGTGTGTCTGCTCCAGAGAAGGGTGCGAGGGCGTCTTTAATGGGGGTAGGCTTGTCGGACATGAGAGCCAGAAGGAAGCTGCCCGAGGCAACGTGGGTGGCGATGCTGATTGAGCACTTGTTATAATTAGATGCCAGCAGATTTGTGGACTTCGTGGCCGAACACGTCAAGTCATGGACTCCCAGGACACCTTGCACGCACTGGTGTAGCCAACAACTCAGAAACATATATTACACGGTCAAACCAAAGGATGCTGACCAACGTCTCGAACCCAACTTTTTCAATCACTTATTTATCAACCTGCTAATACCAACTAACCCGTCTAACTAGACGGGACATGTCACCCTTATGGTGCGTCTAGTTAGACCAAAGCCAGGCCAAGAGTGCCCCTCGGATATCCCGCCGCAACCGGCGTGACATGGCGGGACATGTCCACCGGCTCCCCATGAAAAGCTCCTCAACCGGGACGTGTCACGCTTAAAAAGGGGGGTAACGGTGTCGACCGTGGGTGGGACGTAGAGCCTCGATGAGCAGGAGGGGGAGAGCTACTGGTGGTAGCAGGACACAACGCCAAGCGGGACGTTGTCCTGACCCCCGCTGCGACATTGGGGGCTATTAAGTGGGACATAAGGAACAGGTATCGGTGGTAGCAGGACACCGAGATAAGCGGGACACAAGGAACAGATATGGATGGTAGCAGGATGCAGGGGCAAGCGGGACATAAGGAACAGGTGTAAGTGGTAGCAGGACGCCGGGGTAAGCGGGACATAAGGAACAGGTATGGGTGGTAGCAGGACGCAGGGGCAAGCGGGACATAAGGAACGTATGAGTGGTAGCAGGACGCCGGGGTAAGCGGGACATAAGGAACAGATGTGAGTGGTAGCAGGACACAGGGGCAAGCGGGACATAAGGAACAGGTATGAGTGGTAGCAGGACGCCGGGGTAAGCGGGATATAAGGAATAGATATGGGTGGTAGCAGGACAGACGAGTAGACGGGACATAACCAGTAGGTACCAGTCGTAGCAGGACACACGGGTAAGCGGGACATAAGGACCAAATATGGGTCGTAGCAGGACATATGAGTAGGCGGGACATAAGGAATAGATATCCGTGGGAGCAGGACAGACGAGTACACGGGACATAGCCAGTGGGTACCGGCCGTAGCAGGACACACACGAGTAAGCAGGACATAAGGAACAAATATGGGTCGTAGCAGGACATATCAGTAGGCAGGACATAAGGAACAGTCTGACTGAAGCGGGACATTTAGATGCCGTGGCGTGGGACCAAAAATGGTGTGTCCGAAGGAAAGTCCGCAGTGGGATTCGAACCCACATCACCTCAATCAGATGAGGTTTCTCCTTTACTCGATCAAAGTGTGTTACCATTACACCATGTGGACGACAACACAGTCGAGATACTGTCCGAGGCATCACCCACTGAAGCAGGACACTTAGATGCCATGGCGCAGGACCAAAAATAGTGTCTCTGAAGGAAAATCCGCAGTGGGATTCGAACCCACATCACCTCGATACAGTATGATATTATCGATCTACTCGATCGAAGCGTGTTACCGTTACACCATGTGGACAACAACACAGTTGAGATACTGTCCGAGGCATCACCCACATAAGCGGGACATTGAGAGAGGGTGGGGTGGGACCCAAAAACAAGCTCCAAAAGTAAGTCCACAGCGGGATTCAAACCCACATTATCTTGATGATAAGTCAGGCAAGGTATACAATCAAGGGGTGTTACCGTTACACCATGTAGACAATACAAAGGGGAAAAAATGAATATCTCTCAGGAGCAGGGCCCCATTGGGAATTGAACCCAACCTGGCTGCTTAAACCAACATTGCGCAGAGTGCAAGTAGATGCAGCAGCAGTGCTTACCTTTTACACCATAAGGCCATCAGCAACCTGGTCTTTGAGTGACGTGTAATTGATTATCTTCCTTAGTCCCGATAACCTTATGTCCCTCCTTCCCTTGTCCCGATTAACCTCGAGCCCCTCGTTATCCTCCTTATGTCCCAATAACCTTATGTCCCTCCTTCCCTTGTCCTGATTAACCTCGAGCCCCTCGTTATCCTCCTTATGTCCCGATAACCTTATGTCCCTCTGTATCTTCCGTGTGCCACGCTTTAAAAAAATTTAAAATGGCCCTATTGGGAATCGAACCCAACACAGCTGCTGCAAAATTGAAAAGACGATTGATCTTTAACAGCGGTGCATACCACTGCACCATAGGGCCGCTACTACCAACACATCTCTGAGTAAGGTTCCTTTGTAATTGTGTTGATGTAATTGATTATATTCCTTATGTCCTGATTAATCTTGTATCCGCTACTATGTCTGCTTATTCCTCTGTCCGCACCCGTCTTCCTTATTTCCCGCTCAATTCACGATGAAATACAAGATCAGTATACATTACAAGGCCAAATCATCCTCCAACGCAATGTAAATAAAATGTAACTCCTCTGCCAACTGTGCTTCCTCCGCGATGTCACCCAGATCGTCATCAATCTCCTGCTCCACATCATGTACTCCCATGTTCTCCATCGCCCTAGCAACCTGAATGGCAGTGGCCTCTGCATCGGTTTGTGCGGGCTCCTCCACACCTCCATTGGCTCGGCATTCTGGCTGCATGGCTCAATGCCACGCCCGGAACGAGTGTCCTGTGAACCGGGATCCAGCCTTGACCGCGAATTATTCAGGCGTTGGAGATGGATGGCGTCATAGCGTTCGCGCTGTTGACGATAGCGTCAAACACACCAGGCGAGGCCTGGGTCAGTCTCGGCGATCTTCTTCTCCTGGGACACCAAGAACTCCCCCTCATCCCTAATGTGAGTCACAAGACGCCGTATTTCAATATCGCACCCCAGAATCTCCTCCCGGCACGTTCAATCTTGAAGTAGGTGTCCATGAGGAGCCTGGCTGCAGGGTCCGCCCATGCTCGAACCTCAATACCCCTCTCTGGATGGCGAAGGAGGTCGAAGTCCGAGAGGAACACATATCCACGACCTCCGACCAAGCAAGCTTCCTCCCAGGGGGTACCATAGCAGCCGCAGCGATGTTGTAGCTTTTAAGTGCTGTTCGAATAGCCTGGGAGCGGGCCTGCAGAGCCTTAGTGATATGCTTGCGAAGTTTGTAACCTAGAGACAGTTTAGAGTGGAGATCAGCGAAAAAAAACAAAGGAAATACCTGTTTGCAACATATTCATCTTGGTGAGCTCGAACATTCGCTGCACCACAAGCTTTTCCAATTTCATCAGTGCTAGACGGTATCTTTTGTGCTGACCAGATGTGCTGCATCTGCCCATTCCTGGCTCCCTGCCAGCCAGCGGACATCTACTCCCATTTTACTTTCCAACTCTTGTACATCCACCAACGCCGTGTCGTAGTTCTCACGGGTGTGACGCTTCGCGCTCGCAGAGGTCCGGGATGCCTCACCCAACGCGAGTCGAGCTTGGCCTAGTATCGCAGGACATAAGGCGGCAGTGTAGACAATGTAGCAGGACACAGAGGCAGTGAGCGGGACACAAAGCGGTGGTGTCGAACATGTAGGGGGACACGGCCGTGGTGGAGCAGGACACAAAGTGGTGGTGTCGAACGTGTAGGGGGACACGGCGGTGGTGGAGGGGACACAAGGCCGAAAATGTAGCAGAACACGGAGGCGGTGAGCGGGACACAATATGGCGGTGTCGAACATGTAGGGGGACACAGCGGTAGTGGAGCGAGACACAAGGCGGCGGTATCGAAAGGTAGCGGGAAACGGGGGCGGTGAGGGGGCCAAGGCAGCGGTGGCGAAAATGTAGCGGGACACGGATGGTTGTGAGCGATATGGGGGGGTGGTGGGCAGGACACAAGGCCGTGTCGAAGGTGTAGCGGGGCACGGGGTCGGTGAGCGGGACAAAAGGCGGTGGTGTCGAAAATGTAACGGGACACGGAGGCGGTGAGCGGGACACAAGGCGGCAGTGTAAGGGGACACGGGGGTGGTGAGCGGGACACAAGGCGGTGGTGTCGAAGGTGTAGCGAGACACAGGTGGGAGGTGATGGAAGTGGCAGGACAATTGAAGTGAGCGACTAGAAAGGGAAATAAAACAGAATTACTCACTTGCGATCAGCGAGGTTGACCAAACGCTGATAGTACTGCATCTGTTGAGTATCTTCTTCGGTGTCCGAGGTCAGGCTCCGCAGATACTCAAGTTCGGCCTTGAGGCGGGCCGGGAATTCCTCTTGACTCTTAATTCCCGCTGCTACCATCATGATCTTGAGTGTGCCCTCTCCAGCTAGAACCTCCAATGCCTGCCAGTAGTTATTAACCAGGAACTTGCCTAGATACATTTCAGTATGAAGAATATACTTTTTGCGAAAGAAATTACTTAGGTTCGCGTAAGTCTCGTGAGTGTCGGAGTGCGCAAAGTAGGTCGACATTGTTTGGAGCCTGTGGAAGGCGCTTGCATACCGGACCGAGCCTGCCATGGTGTTCGACCTGGAAAAGAATCTTTCACATCCCTCGAGGTCTTCGAGGCCCATTCCGAGGACATATTGGGCCAGGAAGAGTAACTGGCAGAGTCGGTTGTGCACGTGCCCATGAAAGGCTCCAACAAGACAAGAAAAATTCTGCAGAAGAGCCTTTTGTCCAAGTGGGCTATTAAACAGCGTGATAAGGAAGCCACACCCTATGTCATATCCGAAACCAATGGCTCGACCAAAAGCATCAAGGAGCTCATTGGCGATGGCAAGAGGATATTTTGATCTGTGAATCAACCCATCAGTGGCAGCCATGTGCAGAAGGACGACTTACAGCTCCCCGCTTTTAATCATATTCGCCACCAGCAATATGAAACCATGCCTACAAAGGCAAATGAACACTCCGGTCTCATCATAAATTCCCCACATCTTTTTCGTGATATCCTCGGACAGATTCTTCCATCTCTCTTCGCATGCGGTCTTTGTTTTCTCGCCGTCCTGCTTGAATCGGTCAGAACCAAACTCGGGGAGGGAAATATGTGACTCACCGTGGGAGGATCCCCCTCACCGGCTGCCGGAGTCATGAACTTTTTGAATCTATCCTTTGCCCATCGGTTAACCTTCTCTCGTGACAGGAAGTATGGTTCTCCAGCCGTCGCTGCCCACGGGTCGAATCGCTCATTGGACTGCCCCGGAATTGGATTTCCCTCGTCGTCATACTCATTGGCACCTCGGCGAAGAACGCGCTTCAAGGAATCATTTCCATCGGCGGTCACGAGCATAGAAAACACGAGCTCCGCCTCGCCTTCTAGCTTGTACATGCATGTGGGGCAACAGTTCTTCAAGCGCCAATTGGGTGCATCTCGACCGATGGCCTTGTCTACCCGTTCTTTGACGCCGCGGAGGATGGCCAGATAAAGGTCATATGCCACCGAGAATTGCTGGACGCGGTATGGTTTGAATGGCAGGCCGTGGAGGTCGGCGAGAGTCTTCATCCAACTTTGAATGGCTAAAGTCGGAGTGCGTAGATGGGCAACCCGAAACAGCTCCAGTACACGGGTAGAGAAGCCGACAGTAGGGGTCCAGGGGGCACAAGGTATTACACCTCGGCTTACCAGGCAGGAGGTCGTAAAATTGTCGGTGTAACGCATGTGTATGCTGCGTGAGGATGTGGCTGTCGACAGTTAACAGAAATAACAGCCTTTGGGAGGCACAAGACATACTGAATATGTCCACGAGCGTGATTTCATACTGCTTCTCTACCAGAGGCGTCTCAGGGGGTGGAAGTGCTGACTCCAAATTGTCCTCTACCTGAAGACCCCATTCCACATACGCATTGATGATCGCGTGCATTTGGGGTGCAAATGCGTGCACTTGCTTTGCGATGATGTCCCGGCGCTTTCTATGGTCTTGTGCGTGCCTGTCGCATAGTTATCATAGTCGAAGCTGGACACATATTTGGTCACAGACTTACTTTTTATTTTGGGTCTCCCGCTCCCCACGGATTGCATCCTCAAGCGTGTCGCGAAGTTCTCCTCCTGCACCACTGGCCATAAACCCATCACGCCCGTTCATGGCAGCGTCTACGTCACCCTCCAGGGCGCCAGGTACATCCTCCCAGTCCATGGGATCCGTGTCGTTGGTTGGATCTGCGATGTCCTGCACATTGTTAAGCGCCTGACGTGCAGTAGCAGTCAATACTAACGGACACCATGAGTAGCCAGAATTTCTTTCAGGCAAATTGTACTCACCTTCGTATTGGTCCTGCATCTCCTTCTGGGCTTGGTCGCAGGTTACTTGAGAGGCTTGCGGTTTGACTGATGTCAGAAGTTGGCGCCTGGCTCCAGTGTTAGTGAACATGCTCATTGAACTTCGCACACGAGGCGGGCGAACAGGGACGCCTAGTCCCTTTTTCTTGCTGTTGGTCATGGGCCACTTGATGGATGGTTGGTGGCCGACACGTGAGTCATGTCCCGTCGCAGTGTCGCACTGATGATGGTGGGCAGGACTGAGCTGTAGGTGAGTATGGTGAGGCGGGACACATGACTTGCCAGGTATAGCAGCGGTGTAGCAGGACACTGTGTTGTGGTATACCATAATGTGTCCCGCTACACTGTCGCAACACGTTCTACTAATCTGTCCCCCTACGGCTCTGATGTACCGGGACATGACGCCATTCCTTCCATTAGCCGCATCATCACCTGGGGCCATAATCTGTTTGAGTGGGTACTCATTCACGCGGGTATTCAGGTGGATCTAGTTTGTATTTCAGTCGGAGGAGAGATATCTGGAAAGTTCATC